ATTTTACTCCAGTGCCAGCTAGAGCTCTGTTTTTGTTGCAGTTGCCAGAAATTTTACTTTTTCATATAATTCTCATGAGACCACGTTATCCGTAAATTATCCTTCTTGCAAGCTAACCTCCATACTTGCTTCAACACACCTGCTTCATTCCACCACTTGGCATCCTTTTTTTTTAAGTCCTCCCTCAGCTTTAGATGACTTCAAACTTAAGTGATTATCAAACAAAGCCTAAATAGACATGATGAATAGGAAGATGTACCGAAAGAAGAAATTGGGAGGAAAAATAAAATTTTTAACCTTTCTAAATCTAGAAATTCTTTTGATGAGGGCTATTTGGTGAGGAAAAGATAAAGACACAATTTCTGGAAAAAACTAATAAACTAATTTTTATTTTACAAATTTGTATGGATCAGTGATTAGTGTATATTGCTTTTTGTTCAACAATGTACATTGTTCAGTTGGAGTTAATATTCTTCTTTCTCAGCTCCATTCATGATGCGCGATTTCAATTTATACATATCAAGAAAATTTAGTAACTGTAATTTAAATACTAAAAACCCAAGTATTATTATAAAAAATGAATATTTGTGATAGTAGCATATAAATATAGAGATCACTTTTACTAATCCCTTTTACTCACTTAAAACAGAGTACATGAAGTACACGTGGTAGCTCCACATTCTCTGTTTTTTTCGCCCTTGCACCAGAGTGATTCTATGCTGAGTTATAACCTTCAATGGTGGAGATTAAGTTAAAACAGGTTGATCTAACGGTTTTGTTATATTAATTACAGACACAATTGCAGATTTGTAATAGAACTTCACTCTTAATATTAAAAATTCTTAATTTTCAGTCTTTGAAAGAAGGAAAATAATGCTATACCGCCGACATCAACAACCCTCGAATTAGATGCCGACGGATGTGATCGGTTTGACAAAACCGTAATTCCCGGCTTTCTACTCTGTAATGGGTTTGATTAAACCCTAAAGTCATCATTTTCTATATAAATATTGCAGTTGCTCGCTGAAATACGAGATCCAGCTCAAGACCTTCCAAGAAGAACAAATCCAAAAGTCGAAGCATGTGGAACATAAGCTCAGGGCCTTCCAAGGAGTAGTTATTCCATTTCTTATTTTGTCTTCCCTTCAAATGCACTGTGCCATTTTCTTTTCATTTTCAAACTGGATTTGATTAGAAAATTTTAATACTTCTCTACTTTGAAGACTGTTTATTCTTTGAATCAATTCTCTGAAGGTGAGAATGCTACGGGGTCGGGGATCAAACACTGGTCAAGAAAATAGAAAAAGAATTACTAGGTAATCTTCGTTTTTTTAAAATATGCTTGAAGGTTGAAGAAAATGGCTTCGTCTTTTAAGAATATTACATTATATTTATTGCTGTTTTGTTAGACTGTTGGTGGTGTCAGCCGATCTGGATTATTAAGTAGGAACAGCCTTCTGATCTTATAAACATGGATGGTTCAGGAAGTTCAAAGGTGACCGGGGATGGGTGAATTCACAAGAATTTGAAAAGGCTCCTACTCCGGAAGGCAAGTTCCGAGATTCATGAATGGGAGGAATGCGACTAAAGACAAATGAAAAGAAGAATAGTGCAAAATGGAAGTACATTTCCCTTTCATCATTGTTGTGTAATACAGTATTAGCTTTTCATTTGCTAAATTTTTTTTGCAGTGATTTTTTATAATTAAGTATCATTTCTATTGTTTTGATGGAGTTCGAATATAAAGATCGCAGTATTTACATTTCACGTTAAGAATATATGATACAAAAACTAACCAAAATGTGCAAATCTAAAAAATGGAATGACCAATGCTTTGTACTCTATTAATACACCGCTCGAATAGTGGAAAGAAAATATACTCCAATATACCGCTCAAATAGTAAAAAGAAACCGGCCGCCCCTATTAAAATAAGTTTTGAGCTAAAGATTTATGCCAAAAAATATATATATATATAATAATAATAATAATAATAATAATAATAATAATATGTACAAGGAAAAAATACAAAAAAATAAATAAATAAATAAAGACAAATGATCACTTTCATTCATTTTTAACACTTTCCATTCAGATTTTATGCACTTAAGATTATGATATATTATAGATGATGATTGATAAGTCATTTCTTGTAAATTTTCTAATAATTTTTTCCCTACATGTATCATTACTCAACAAAAAAGGGGAGGGGGAGGACAAAAACCCCCCTGAATTATGTCCAAAAGATAAATTGCACCCCGACATTTCGTATAAGGACAATAATCCCCCTACCGATAAATTAAAGAACAACTTGCCCTCTGCATTAGCAAAGCTTAGTAAAAAAGATAAAAATACCCTTAAATCTAAAAATAATATTTTTCAAGACCAAACCTACCATCTAGTCAATTCGTTTATTTTTTTGTAAAATCCTAAAATAATTTGGCTCCAATTAAATCCGCTGCTGACTCCGTTTTGATGCATTATTTCTCTCTATTACTGTCGCCTCAATAAAAATAAACTTGAGATTGAGAATTTATTATATCAAAATCATAAATTCTAATTATTTTATTTTTTTGAAATTCTTAAACAGTTTGGCTTCGATTAAATCCGCTACTGACTCCGTTTTGATGTATTATTTCTTCCTATCACTGCCGCCTCAATAGAAATAAACCCGAGATTGAGAATTTAATATATCAAAATCATAAATTCCATATGGTTTTAATAGATTAAATTCTCAATGTCGGGTTTATAGAATTTACGGTTTTAATAGATTAAATTCTCAATTTCGGGTTTATTTTTATTGAGGCGGCAGTGATTGGGAGAATTGATGTATCATAACAGAGTAAGCGGTGAATTTAATCAGAGCCAAACTGTTTTAGAATTTTTAAAAAATTAGAATAAACGAATCGATTGGAGGGTATGTTTGATCTTGCGAAAGATTATTTTTAGATTTACGGGTATTTTTATCTTTTTGCATGCAGGGGACAAGTTGTTTTTTGACTTGGCAGTAGGGGGTTTATTGTCCTTATACAAAATGCCGGGGGGGCAATTTGTCTTTTAGACATAACTCAGGGGGGTTTATCCTTTTCCAAAAAAAAAAAAGGAAACGGGGAGCAACTTAAACCTAAAACTACTACACAATTCGACAGGTTTGATCCTATGCCCAAGTTGACAAAAAAAAAAAGCCTTCCTTAGATTCTTCGCATATCATAGCTACATCCTTGCCCCCCATTGAATGTATCCCTAAAGAAACATGCAACCTTGTTCCGACAATTTCTCAAATTCATTTTCTTTCTTGTACCTAGAGTAAGATTCAACAACCAGATACCAAATATTATTCCACAAAATTTGTCTTATTTCCTCTAAGAATGCCTTGTAGCTTACTTTTCCATGGAGAAACTGTACCACCCTTAAGTCTGCTTACCCATTCGGTCCAAGATCTTGATCTGGTGTTGAGTTGGCTGACCTTCATTTGAACGTTTCCCTTCGTATATATATATATACTCCATATTGGTCCCAGTCATCACAAAAAAAAGTTGGCAACTAGCCCCGTCTCACAAAGTGCTTAATTATAGCCTCAACAAAACCAACGAAATGCTCTCCACAATCAGTAACATTTTTTTTTTCTTTTTTTGTCGAAACGGCAATCATTATCATTAAAGAGAAAAAAATCAGTACCATTTTGCTAATCAAGTCTGGTCACCAACTCTTCATATAGAGATCAAGGCAATAATAAGAAAATCAGCTCCCCGTTGATCAAAACTTGATAATCATTCATCTTTTCTCTTAATTGAACTACTTAATTGGACTACTTTTATGGAGCATCATTCTCCTGTGTTCAAGAGCACTAGGATCCTTGAAAGAACTTTCATTACAAGTTCTTAGCTCAACCCAAAACTGAACTGACCTCGAGCAAACACTTAAAAGAGATTATTTTCTCTTGTAAAATCAGTATACTTGTTTCTCCAAATACAGTGGAACACCCCTAGCTGTCAAGATTTTTAACAGACTGAGATTCATACGATAGAGGAAGTTAACAGCGTTGAATGATAGTACTTCCCTTGAAACAAGTAACCACCTCGGACCATGACTTATGTAGTCTAGCATCTTCACTATGTTTGCCTACAACAAACTCTGCACCATAACTACATAGCGATGAAGCTTGGTGCTTGAATGTAACAAAATCAACTCCAGCGGAATGCCTAAACTCTTCAACAAAACTCAAACATTGAACAACATTAAAGGATATCATGGCATACAAAAGAATCTATTGTCCCCTAGGATCAATAGCAAATGAGCTCAGTCTAATGCCACTGCTGAATTATTTATAGCCAACCTGTTGTCACCGTTACTAATAACCCCAGCACTTTTTATCAACTCCAGTCAAATGATCAAAATCACATAGAGCTTTGACCACACAGCACTCAAAACATTGACAGTTATCGAATCAGTATCAACATCATGTTTATAACTGTAATTGAGTTTTACCCTAGGAGTATCAATTACACTTGTAATCTCAGCTGGTGTATCAATAACCACTTCTAAAATCATAGAATCATCATCTGATTGCAACAGTTCGATCGTGGTTGGTTGGCTAAATTTTAATGCCACTCAGAATCGCAAGCATCCTTCACATAAAATTCCAGGCTTCAAGTAAAATATGGTTGTTGCACAGTTTACATATCTGCTATTTAATAAAGTTTCTTGGTACTCTCATCCATAACTTCTTCTTGAGCTTCTTCTGTATTCCAACACCCCCTCCCAAACACACACACAAATGAAACACAATTTCTGCTTTGACAAACTAGACTGTCTCCGAGTTTTGTGCATACGCAGAACAACGGTGGTGACATTCTAAATCTGGTATTTAATTTAGTTGAAAAGGAAATATGACATATAACTTTATAGGTCAAATAATCGATACAATAACCAAATCATCAAATCTAGTCCATAATTCATATAAATCAAATATATCTGTTCACCTAGACCAGACAGGTTCCATTTAAGAAATGAAACAATTTTTTTGAACAAAATCTGTATACCCAACATCCACAAGGCTGAGGCCATCAGGGGGTGAAGGTGGAGCTGTGGCTCTTCTACATGAGGAGTCCATCAGCTTCAGCAACGCATCATCTTCAGCGCCAGCTGCCGCTTCCCTTACTGCTGTTGCTACAAGAACTCGAACCATCTACAGATCAATGGAAAATCAATAACATCAAAGGCATTCAAAACCCCAGAAACAGTACGGAAGGGGAACTATCGACGAGATAAGAGACTTGTGATCGCAAAGACAACATCATTCACAAGCAATTCAGAGATATTTCTTCTCATCTTACATAGATTCGGCACTACGTTGGCAGGAACCATGAAATAATGAGTGCCAGCATTAGCCGCTGAAAACTTAAGTTTCATGCCCATCGTTGTTGACAGTCAACAAAAGATTCACTCACGTACTACGCGCAAGCAATTCAGAGAAAATAACAGGGTTCTTATTTAGAAATATGCGAACACTTGCATGCTTCTTAAAGGATCCTGAGTTCATATAGTTGCAATCTGGATGCAAATTTGCTGATGACAGGAAAAGCTACTACCTTCCGTAAGAAGCGATTAGCCACCAACTCTATGCACATAACCCGCGTACTAGTCCCATCCTTCAATCCAGTGAACGATGATGTAAGAGGAGTAAATAAAAGGAACCACTATGAAAAACACTTAATATACAAAATCCCAATAACCATCAATAAACCTACAACAAAATTTATATGCCAAGCTGATGTAATAATGTGGGATGCAATCATTGCGCAGAACAACTGAAGAAGATGGAAGATTAAGCAAATCAACAGACCTGTGCAAATGGTAAGGCTGATACCATAGCTCGAGCATGGAAGACGAAACATTCAGTTGGTGGACCACTGCAGCATCAAGAAAGGCAGCCAGAGAGAGATCACGTAATTGAGTCATTGACCCACAAGATGAAAGCAGATCTTATATAATAAATCGCAGCATGAGGCAATACATTCTCAAAAATGAACCACACAAACATCTTCAAATTTTTCTAATCTCAGGTCAGCATTCAAAAGTATTACCGCCTCTAATGCTGTAATACGGGAGAATGCCAGCACCAAGAATAGGACAAAAACAATTTACAAAAAAAATCCTCAAAATGCTCATGAAGTGTTAAACTTTCTTGGGCTAGTCAGCTAAGATTGACTTGGAGAAGATAGAAGCCTTTGACGCATTCAATTAGCTTATCAACCCGTTTAGAAATCTGTCTCGGAAGGAATCGTCTATATACCTTTCAATCTGCATTCTGAGGGTTCTACAAAGGTATGCATAAGGTATGACGGGGAAAGATGGGGATTCAAAATTTTAACTGGAAAAGAAACGAAAAGGAACCACTAAAAATATTTGAGTCCCTCGGGGCTAGCATTGACTAGACTTATGTTCACCTTCTCCATGTTCATTCTCCCAAATTCCAGAGCAGGCTATAGAGAATCTCATCCTGGCTCTATTTCATTATTTCCCACCGGTATATTAATTACATCTAATTGTAATCTCTGGCGTCATTGATCAAAAGATGTAAGACACACAAGGTGGGGAACCAGGAACAACAATACAAAATTATCAATCCAAATGCATCCATTTCTGAATGAAAACTTCAAGCCATCATCGAACAGGTATTGTGGTAAGGAGTTTCTTTTTTTCATACGTTGCATAAAGATCAAGTGTCCCAGTTCTAAGCCTATACAAGACCTCCATACTACTTATGTTGGGTCAATAGAAATGATTACTGGTGATGGGAACAAATTGTGCAAAAGATGCCAAGAGTATTGTGAAGATGCTCTATAGTATTTCAACTCTTACGTGTTTCTTGAGGCTTTAGTGTCTCGTGCAAACATCTTGTAGGACAGCAACTTTCCTTCAAGTTGCCTTAGAAGTCGGTCAACCTTGCTTACTTCAAACATGGTCGGTTTGTTTCCAGCATCCATTTCCTCATTGTCATCGTTATGGCCATTATCTTTCACACAGGTGTAGTTATTATGAATCCAATCTGCACAAACCTTTCTATATTCGTTACTATCCTTCTCAACATGACTGCCATGTTCACCTTCTCCATCATTGAAAGGAAAGATATACAAGTAGCGCCTCCATTTGGCTGAGAAGTTTGGATGAAATTCACGTGATACCTAGGGATAGTTCTTCATCAGTATCTTGTCAAATTTGATCAACTCAAAAGAATGATATTTTTACCGACTGCTCATTGGCAATAATTAGAGCAATTCACCATCCGATATAATTATACAAATACAATATCAAGCATTCCCACAAAGCCGACTAATCAAATACAAACAATACACAAGATTATACCTTGGCAACTGAAATGACCTTCATCTTCCCAAGTGCAGCATTGTTGATGGCTTCTTCAATTTCTTGCGGTTTAACATCCTCACGCCATGTATCTGCGACAAAATAACCAGGAACCCAACTGACATTTTAGAACTTGATTTTTTTTTCTTTTTTCTTTTTTTCTTAAAGGGATCAATAGTGGTTCCCCACTTACCCCATTTTAGAACTTGATCTATTATGTTGTTAAAACGACAAAAAGGAAAAGAAAAGAAACAAAAACAAAAACAAAAACAAACGCAAAAAAAAAAAAAAAAAAAACATACAAAACAAAAGAAAACAGAAAAGGAAAGAGCAAAATAGTAACAATTTTTTCTTAATCAAAACACAGAAGCTGATGGTTCAAAATCGTCAAGCAGAATAATTTTAGCAAATATGCCACCACAACAAACAGTTTAGCCACGTTAGAGAGAGAGAGAGAGAGTAAAAGAGTGAAGTGTTCAGTGATAAGTATACTGATAAAACAATGAAGGGATAAGTATCAAGGAACGTCACATACAGAAAGAACAAACTTGCTGAAAAGCAGTAACTCCTTTGTCGGTGCGTCCAGCAACTACAGCACAGCCTTCTAGTGGTAAATTTTTCTCCTTCAGCAGTTGACTTTTCTTCTCATCCACAAATTTACCAAGAGATCTTTCAACTATTCTACATAAAGTAGAAGTCAGAATGTAGTAAAAGAAGGTGTCTAAGAATAATGAAGATCAAATAATAAGATCAATAAATCCATGGGTTGCTACCACTAATTGAATGTGATGAGTTGTATATCCGGTTCAATAACAGAGATATCTCCCTAGGTCAATCCAAATACTTATGCGGGTAAGTTACTATCTAGCATAATGACTTGGCTGATAGATTATGAGATACATATTTTATGCAGTACCGATCTGAATTAATGTGTACGTTATCTTCTATCCAACGACATTAATCTGATAGAGCTGGAAGTAACATATGTTGAGGAAGGAAGAAGGATACTTCAAAATTATGTGGTTAACAATTATTTCTTTCAACATTTAAAAAGTTCATTCATTTGCCAAGGTTGGAGGGACATGAAATAATCTTAAAAAGGATAAAACTGGAGATGGTATGCTTATCATTTAAGACAGCAATCATGAAATAATAACAACAACTAGCATACATTATAGATCAATATTGTGTTCCACGGAAACTTATATTCTATTTAAATTTTATCATGTATTTTTAAAAAAAAAATTGTAATTTAATTTCTAATTTTGCATTTTGTCGATCGAGTATTGATGCATCTTGACCTTGATGTATATGTTAAACTAAATATAAGCTTGTTTTACTCATTCTCTTTCGTATTATGTGTTCACACATTCTTCTCAATATTCTCAAAACTGTTGCTCTTATTTTCTTCATAGTCGAAGTTACAGCATCAGTGTTTTCATCTTTATGCATCATTTATCTAAGGTTAGAGATTTTCTTTTAATTTCAACTAACCGATAAAATCATGGAATAGATGATGCAGGGTTTCCATTGTCTCAACTTCTTGATGTTCTTGAATTCTATGTAGGACTTATTTACTAAATCTCCCACTTTTAGGGCACTAGACCCTAAATTTCTATGTTTTTGAAAACTGTAATTCACACATTCTGCGATTTTCACATTATACAACTGTTTCTCAAGCACACTCTATATATACAATTGTAACTTTACTCTTAACACTTCCCTGCAAACTTGTAACTTTGTATACATTCCAATTAAGTCATCATTCACAACCATGCCACGTGAATTGTTTCCTACAGCTTCCTAATAAACCCATCTTTTACTTTGAGGCAAAAAAGAGCCTCTAGAAAAGGATCTCACAAGCGAATCTGAAGTATTTAGGGATAAACTGGACAGCCTACCAGAGTCCTTGATGATTTTCTACACAACCTTGTGTGGATTATTATAACTTTTAGTAACACTTCTCTTTTTCTTCTCTTATACATGCCGCATTATGCCATAGTTAACTCTACTATAAACTTTTACAAGATAACGTGGCATGAAAGTGGCCTATTGATATTCCACTTTGGCGATAAAACAACATCAAATCAATTCAACTACAATAGCAACTATTCTCTGCCGTCAAATTAGTTACTATTTCAAATACCCTAATAGTACAACTAATTCATTTACTCTTTCACAGGCCACTCCCATGCCTCAAGAGGAATATCATAAGGGCAAGCTGGTTTACGAAGTTTCACTTTTGATGTTCATTTTACTCCTGAAAGTTTGGATTTTGGGGGTAATAAAGAACGTTTCCATTGGAAGATCGAACCTTTGCACCCACTGACTCAACAAGATATTTTTTCTTCCCTTGCTAAATGCATAGTTTTGCTGAAAGATAAATGAACTTGCTAAATCTTCAAAAGTCAATAGCAAGCGCAAAAGTGAGATGTGGCACGCGAGCAGGGAAAAGAAATAAAAAATTTGGAAAAGTAAATCCCAACATACTTGAAAGATACAAGAGGATCCAATTGTGCACATCTGTTTGTTAGCTTTTCCTTCCCCTATGTTATGGTCGAAGCAATACATTCCCTAGTTACTGAAGGATACTATGATATCAGATCAAACCGTTAAAAACATTGCTGACTCGGAGGTAAGAAATGTAACTAGAGCCACACAGAAAAATCACTTTCAACTCTTTATCACTTATTTCGTAATGAACACTCATGCTTCTTTGTGCATCTAATTTTAAAATTGTTGCGAGAAAACGAACAAGAGATGTAGAACACATGTGTTCGCCATTCAAATTACAAGAGGGTACTCTAACACCACCTGTCCGCAGAAAAGCAAGGACACACATTGCCCATCTCAAAATAGTGATCAACTTCGACCAGTCACGAGTATACAGATATTATTATGATGCATAAGTATACAAATAACCAATCAGGGTCCTTACCTTATCATTATATGCCATACTTCCTTATTATGCATAAGACAGTATCATCTCACTCTAAAAAAACTTCTACTATTGAGATGTTGACAAAGAGCGAAATGTGAACCCAAATTCAAGGACAAGGTAGCAGTTGTTACATCTATCAGGAAATGAACAAGCAATTCCAGAGGGGAGAAACAAGCATGTACCCTTGCACGGTATTCAGACCAGGCTGCTTCTGCCAGCCATCAAAGGAGCTGCCATGGTATGAGAGCAGTATCTTAAACGTAACCCTTGCCCACCTTCCGGATCGATCTTTTGACTGAACAACATCTGCATGATCCTCTTTGTATTCAGAATCTTCACAAGTTGCAAGGGCCTGCAACGAAATTTCTTTTTACTAAGCGGAACAAAGAGAAAATGTCCAAAATAAGAAAATTTTGTAAAAAAAAAAAAAAGCAATTAGACACGAAGGAAACCAAATTCCTTTCGCTTCTTAAGTTAAAACATACCTATCAAAATAAAAATTTCGAAAAAATTAAAACTTATGTCTTGAATAATCCACTCTACTATTAGAGTTTTCTTTAGAGCTCAAATTGGCAAAATGCTTTTCTATTACATGCAAATGGATGATAAATTCATAAGAATTGGGACAAATAACAGACAAATTACCAATTCCCCACGAGAGAATACAGATTCAAATATACAAATTGAATACGAATTCAAAAGCATCCATTCTTAATTGAGCTAAAAAAAAACTGAAACTCAAACAAAAACAAAGACAGACCTCCTTCTTAAACAAATTCGACAATGAGACCCTTCCTTGCACCATTTCTGAATAGAAATCATTAACCTTCTGCCATGGCCTTGAGTACATATACTGGTAGCATTCCCTGAATTTGCCAAAAAAAAAAAAACAAAAAAAACAGAAGCTGAAGGTTAAAACTAACAAAAAGAACTACGAATTTGCCTATTTCTATTCAGTAACTTACTTAGCGGTCCATCGCAAGAATCTGCAGGAATCAGTGTGCTCGTAGTGATCATAATTAGCCTTGTTGCTTTTCTCAAGTTGGGCATCCATTACTGTTATTCCCCGAATCCTCCCAGGCGTGGCTGTTATGGCTAAGCTTCTCATAATAGGAGTTTATGATGAAGTCGTCATCAGAGGGAACTGACGCACGCGCCGCCGCAAGAGGGTGGAGGAGCAGGAAGGATTGCCGCTTTTAAATCGCGAATTCGTAGAAAAAAAGATACTTTTGATATTTATTATTAGCCCCAAATGTTCTTTCTTTCATAAAAATTACCCAACCTTTGACGTTCAAATATATATCCAAGCCTTGAATTTTGTTCGTTCAATTTTCTCACCACCCCACCCAAATAACTTGATACACTTCTTATTTTTGGACTTGTCAAAAAGCGACAATAACATTATTAATATGGAAAAAGATCATAACTTTTTTGCTTGCTATTAATAAATAATGGAGTTCTCTTGAGATGTTTGATGAATTATACTAACTCTATTCGAAAAATAAAATGACGAAAAAAAAATAATGATTCATTTTTTTATTTTTAAGTTTTGTACTGTTTTAGTATAAATAATTCACATAAGTATAAATGGTTAGTTCAAATTAAGCTTGAATATGAAAATATACGAGACTTTTAGAGGTTTTCGTATCATGTGTCGAAGAAAGCCCATGAATTCTCGAAGAGGCTTTTCCTCTATCTTTTTGGTGGCTGGAGTCTGGAAGGACAACAAATAGTGGAATCATCTAAAATAGTCCACATCGATCTTTCAAATTTATATCAATTGTTTTTATTGTAAATCTTAAAATTCAATATAGATTTTTATTTTTATTTATTGGGGACGAGTATATAAAAAATCTTGAAATTTCTTAATTTCAAAAGTAAATCAATCATTTTCACCAATAATTAGATGAATGACTGTTTAGTTAATTTCATCATATATAACTACTTGTACAGTTCAAGGACCCCAATGTAACCGGCAAAAAGTTGAGCTTGCAAAGCTCTGAACCCAGCACCAATAGCCAATGCCTTAAATTCGGATTCCGATCGCTCTTTTCCTCCGGGATTTACAGTCATCATCAAGTTATCCATCTGGCTAACATATTTTGAGTAGACGCTACCGTCAGGCTTTCGGGTTACAATGGGATCAATAACAATTACTTTTCCATTTTCGGGTAGAACTTTGAAGCAGTTTTTGAGTAACTTCAAGCAACGATCGTCACCCCAATCATGAAGTACACTCTGTGGGAAATTGTCAGATGAAGTTTGATGAGATGAAGTTGAGATAGGCAAATAACACAAACCTCTGAGTATTTTTATCAAAAGTGTGAAAGACTGCTCAAGTGTTTAGTATGGAGTTTTTCATTTGGAGTAAATATGATCAATGGTTAAACTCTCAGTTACACATTTTAACCATTTTTTATAATTTTTATAAGTTCCGTTAACATATTTTTTTCCTTTTGAGAAAATTAGGGTTAACATCTTAATTTAGAAAACAGAAACAAAATATTAGAAACAAAAACTGAAATGAAGATATTCATTCTTATATTGCAATTATTAAAGAGTCTCAATCCCACATCGGACTCTGAATAGCAATATATATGCTCCATGGGCTACTCTCCTCATTGCCAATTAGTTTTGAGGTGGAATCTCATGGAGCTTCTATAAGGTATCAGAGCCAGCCTGCCGACATCCGGACTCCAAAAACCCAACAAAAAAATAGGGTTGAGACGTGAGGCGGTACCTGGGCTGAAAAAATAGGACAAGCCCAACTCCAAAAGTACGTTAGGCTTTCGGGAGAGTATTAAAGAGTCTCAATCCCACATCGATGTTGGGAGACTCTGAATATCAATATATATACTCCATGGACTACTTTCCTCATTGCCAATTGGTTTTGAGCTGAAATCCAATGGGCTTCTATAGGGATCGGCAAAATTTATTCATTTTTTTTTAACTTATTGTATCACTTCGAAAAATTAAATTATTTCATTAATACACTCAACTTAAAAAGTTAATTGAAAAACGAGTAATTTTATTATTAAAAAATCCTTTGGTAAATTAACTTTATCGTTTCTGAAATATTATTTATAAAGAAGATTGACATTTAACCAAAAGATATTTAATTTTGTTTCATTTTCGCTTTTGTTTTCTATTGTTATATATTTTAAAAAGTATTATATATTTTTCATTTTACATATTTTGATTTTATTATATATTTTAATTTATTTAATTTGTTTCATTTTCGCTTTTGTTTTCTATTTTTTATAAGTATTATATATTTTAAAAAGAATTAAAGAGTCTCTAACCAAAAATAAAAAGTAAATCCTCAATACTAATAAATTTAAAAAAATTCACATAATAAATTATAAAATTTACACAAACTAATTCAACGGTAAATCATGTATCATTGTCAAATGTATCATACCTTCAAGAAAATGGCATCTCCTCCTGGTACACTATCAAACATGTCTCCTCCAATGTGTTCAATTCCTATGCCATACATCACAATTGGAAAATGGTGTAAATTGTAATCCTCAAATTCAATTGTAAGCTAAGAGAAACACCCGCTAAAAATTTGTACAATCGATATAGATTGGGTGTTATCAAAACAAAATGGGCAACTTTACGTAGGTCAAAAATAAATTTGGAACTTTACCATAGAAAGTGTAAGTCAAATCAACTAAACGAATAGAATGATAATTTTAAGTATGGTACTAGTTTTAAGGATCTATAGAGAACGGGTGACAGGTATATTTACCAGGATAAGAAGGTGCATTTTTTACTACGTGAGGCAAATCAAAATTGATGCCCTGATTTGAGGATATTTTGAAATGATCTTGTGGAGAGATATCCCAAGACCGCCACCGACATCAACCAACTTCTGAATGCCCTCAAAGCCCTTGTATTCATGAAGCAGATGCTTCATAATTGTGGAGGTCGAACCAGCAATTCCCTTATTAAATAACTCATTGAACCTAGGATCCGTGGCCTTGTACTCGAATTGATTCATGCCATAAACTCTGTCGAATGGCGCCACACCTTCCAGAACAGCATTTCCCAATTCGTACCTAAAAGTATGCAGTCAATGAGAATGATCAAGCGTTTGTCAGTTGTCGTCAGCAAAAGATCTTCTAAAACACTTTGTATTACACTCTCTGTGATATTAACTATTTACTTACTATTTAGTTAGGGTGTTAGTAATTAATTACTTAAACACATATCAACTATTTAACCAGTATTACAAAAAGTGTCACACAAAATATCACAAAAGATTATATGTTGCTGTCAACTAGCTAGTGGAATAATATTAACGTGTTATTCTCTCTATCTCTTTCAAATAAAGTTCGATTTATTTAATTTTAAACGTATATAACATAAGTTATTCTTTTTTTTAATGAACAAAAATATGTCCAATTAATCTCCCTTCAAGGAAGCAGCTCCATAAGCATCCACTAGATTAACTTGTTTAATAATTGAGCCTCGTGAAAAGATACATTGAATATGACAGTGAGTGAAATATATATATGAACAGCCAATAAATATCGATTTTAAACTTACAGTTTTGACTCTCTAGATAGATAAATTCTTGCTAACTCTTTTTTATCATTTTTTCTTAACCAAATAAAAAGATTCCAAGGAAAACAAAAAAGTAGATCACAAGTACACTGTAGATACAGAATGAAACATACCAACTGTCCATGAAAACTTTGTCAAGCATCATTTCAGCCAAATGAGCAATAGTATGACCCTCTTCGTCCGGCACGAAAAACCTCCCGATCGGAGATAACCTGTAAACTCTTTCGTCCTTCACGCCGCCATCTTCACACTGAATCTCAACCACATCACAGGTGAAAAGTGAGAAGTTACTGAGCAACAGCAGCATCCTGTCGATCATGGAAGCTCCTTCATCCGGGTTCTTATAACCAGGGAGTCGGGATGCGATCTGGGCTGCTGTCATTTTTCCGAATTGGCCGACGATTTCGAACAGCTTCAGTTTGACAGCAGTGTACAAAACCATGGAGAATGAAGCAGAGCCCACCAGTTGCCGTGCTTGTGAGTAGTAGTAGTATTGACTTGATTCTGCTGATCCTGCTTCCACATTTTCTTTGGGATCACTAGCTTTTGTTAACTTCTCCATTTATGTTGATCAAGTTTTTCCTTCTTCTTCTTCTTCTTCTTGATCTTTTCTTTCGAAAAGTTCAAATTTTTCTGCTTGATGGATGGGACTAACTATAAACTTTAATGAAAAGTTCAAATTTTCCTTCTATTGATTAGTTATGTTTTTGGTGGATGCTCTCATCACAGATTCCCACCAAAGAATATATTAAAGGAACCTAATAACTAAAATATTAAGCAGTTGGTGAAACTGCTTCACTTGGTCTAATCAAGGAATAAGATAATCTATTGTTTGTTTTCTTTTTCGTTTTATATTCATGGAATTGTTCCTCAGAGCAACTTTTTTTCAATGCCATACAATCAGTGCAAAGACTTTATCATTAAGGAATATAATCATCAGTTGATCACTAGTGGTAATTAATGGCTAGGCTTATGTAAAATATATGTATGACAAACAGAATAATGTTCGAACTTCGAAGGATAGACTTTCCAGGTTGCAAATTCCGGTAGCCAATGCAAACTGTATCGAACAACTGGAAAGTATAGAACACCTACGGTGTGAGTTTGCTAGTTTTCCACTAGTGCTATGAATGAATTGAATGGAATAGAGGGATTAATCATATTTGGGAGGAACAAAAAGTGAGAAATTTCAGAACAAATTTAGAGCTGTCAAAGTCAAAGGTTCTTAAGAAGAGACGCAAAACTCTGAATTTTTACTACAGGAATTTTGATTAGAACTGAGGCTTCGATAGTTCTGTTTGATGCTTTCACAATATATATAGTTTATTGTGTAGATGAACGTCTATATGTAAGAATAGAGTGTATATTTTATTTTCTAGTCTGTGCAACATTTTTCACTCGGATTTATACAATCCAAATTACCTGAGTGGAAGGAGAAAAGTCCCCGGCAAAAAAATCCACATCTCCACGTTGTTAATTTCTTCTCAAATGATCATAGACATCAAACAAACATACAGTTTTTGAACAAGCATGTGTTGAAACTTTATTCACATCACTTTCAGCTCTAAGAAGTAACCTTTCTTCCTTCTAAGCAAACACCAAGCAGCCCTACCGGCTTCCACGAGGTGCGGCAGGAAGAGGTTGGACCGCAGCTAAAGGATTCACCTGATAAGAAAAGGCAAGTTGCCACAAGTCCAACACAGCCTTCTTCACGGACAATGCTTGCTTCTTCAAGACCCTGTAAAGGTATACAACGTTTCCATCATGAAAGGCAGACCAGGAACAACAGTTGACAACCGATAAGGTTTACTACATTCCAACCTGGGAGATTCAAAGTTGATCCTACCAATGCTACTTTTAGTGGCAGCATAATATCAAAGGTTCTTCCCTCCCCAAACCAAGATGAATAAATAAGATAATAGAAATTCCACCATTACGGGGGAAAGGTTGCCTTACCTCTGAAGAGAAGCTTGTTTCCTCCTCAGATAATAGCATAACAATAACACCACACAGCTCATAAAAACCTTCCCATTTGAAATGACCAACCTATGACTTCCAAACTTCAGAGTAATATTCCGGAACCACCAGAAGCGTGGAACTTGCTGCCTAGACAATTTCAAAACTGTTTCATTCACGGAGTTTCTTTTATTCACTTGATATTCAGATTCCAAATTCTTTGAAGTTTTAAGAGCAGATTCAACTCCAAGATCGTCTACGTGCGAAGATGGAACAGAAGCTCGTGACGAGCTAACATTAAGAGCACTCATGGAGTTCAATCGCCTCAAAAGTTCCTGTGGAGGTGAATATTTTAAGGATAAGCGCACAAGTAGATGTGCCCCAAAAGCAAAATGGGCAGACAAAGATGTAAAAGGCCAAGGCAGAAATACCAAATGACAAATATAGTGCTACATGAAGCACAGAAAATCTCCTTCAAAACATCAGAGAAAAACTCCATGAATATTGAGAAATAAGATAAATAGATGAGCAGCAGCAAGTTTCTGACAGCAATAATATCTATGTTAGCAAAGATGCAGATAAACTAAGAGATGTCCGAATTTCAGATCATTTAGCAAAATTGAATCAAGATAGAAAATTGCAAAATTTCAAGATACACTAACTTCGAATGAAATTCATCATAAGAATCTCCAGAGTAGTCATATAACCCAATTATGTCATGAGGAAAGATCAAAGAGAGGAAGAGAGGTAAGATATGAAATACTGTATTAATCAGCAACTATCACAATCAGTTTACCTGCCTTTTCTCCTCGGGCAATGCAGCTTTCTCAACCCAGGAGATTGCAATATCAGTTTTTTTCGTTACTGCCCCAAGACAAGTTATCAAATAGAGATCAACAATCTCCAGGTACTTGTCAACTGCAAGAGATAACTGTTTGCTGACCCTTTTGCCATTGACCATCCCAGTTTCATCCAACAAATAATAACCCTCATCTTTATATATCCATTTGCCAAGGAACTCCTCTAGATATCTGTCAGCACCAGAAGATGCGCCTTCTGATATCTGAAGACAAGTCCTACAAAGTAAAACAGAAATAGGGTTTTAAATATCATGCGGTACATAAACACCGTTCCAGAAACATGTTTGTCCATATCAGAACTGGAAGACAAAAGGCCAAAACATGACAAAAGATCAAAGGAACAGAAGACACACTGAAAATGTTGTTCAGTTAGTTCTTGGCAAACCACACCATCCTAATTTCCTGAATTGACCTGATTAACCATTGGCAAAGACATACCATGACATGGATGAAATACAAAGAAACTGCCCTCAGAAAGTAACAACATTACATCAACTGAATTGCTGACATTCTACCTCAATGAAAGAAAAAGTAATATGGAATCAGAGATTCACCCCATTTCTGAATAGATTAAATGCACTTGAGGTCAGGGATACCCTCACCCATATAGTTTCAAAAGGACCACATTACAATTTTAGAAATGGTATAAGAGCATCGCCATGAGAAATATACACAGCCAAGCCCCAAATTCTTATCTACAAGAAACCAGAAGTTTAAAGGCAAAGGACTTAGTGCTTGCTGAATAGAAATAATATGCATCCGAAGTGACCCAGAAAAAATTTCTTTCAATGTTTGAATATTCCAAACATTCAAAGCCAAGACCTATGCAGCATCAACCAAAGGTTGACGCCAACCTGTATGAGTAGCACTTCTCACACTACATGCTAACATAACATGGTAAATGATTCTAGAACTTGAATGTTTCCAAACTCTAAGATGGAAAAAGATGCATCCGCAGATCATAGAGTTACCCTGTAATGAAAACTAGGACAGGAACGGCTGTGACTGAACCAAACAATAGTTCGAGCTCCTTCAGAATATGTAGAGTCCTGCAAATGAAATAATCATGAGATCAATATAATTTGCAAGACTGGTGTAAAAACAAAATCTCTTCGTAGGTTCAATACACTGTCAGGCTGGTGTAAAAGCCAAATTGAACATATATTTCAACAACTCAAGTGCATTTGTTTAACAGCATTCAAGAAGCTACACCTGGTTGATGAAGAAAGAAATGTATAGCTAAGTTTTGGCAATATCTGCATTCTTTCGTTTTCTCAACAGAAGCTAAAACTCCAAATAAAGGTCATGGAAGAGTTAACCAATCCTTCAGTTTTTCCGTTCTACATTGACCATCATCATCATCATCAGATAAATAATTACTGATGATGACTACCAAAAAGGAAAGAAGATAGAAAGGAAGTGCCATGGCTAATTATTGACTTCATCATAAGATCCATAATCCTTAACCATTTGGAAGAAAATGCAAACAAAATTAAGAAGTCTTTGATTGAACCAACAACAGTAACAATTCAAGTAAATGGTAACAGACAGCCAATAATGTTTCAGTTTACAGGTAATAACATTAGTAGACTTCTGCATAGAGACTCACCTTCCAAGTTCCTTCATGGACTGAACCAAAACCATAGCAGCAGACTCCAACATATCATCAAATCTATTTTCATCAGAATCTTCCACACTTTCAGTCTGATGATTCTCGATCAAATCCTTAATAATCGAGGAAGCCAACAACGACGCTTCCTCAAACATCCCACTCACTAGGTAACTGCAACACCATTTATTCAACATCCCAAATTAAAAACAATTCAGCAAAGATATATTCTCGACAGCTTGATTATATAGAAAACCAAAAGGCAGAATCAATTAAACGATTATGAAAAGAAAATGAAAAAAAAAAAAAAAACCCTTGCCTTTCCGAACGATCAATTTCTTCCCAAGTAGATAAATTTTCAGCAGGAAAAGCCATTTGACCACTATATCAGTACAAGTGTACAGCAGGAACAACTGAGGAATCGGAAAGTTACAAATTTAGATAAGCAAGCACACAAATTTAGAGAAGCAAGCATCAGAATAGAAAATGCACGAAATGAAAGAGCATAATTCAAGAACTTCAAAATCAGAGAAGAAATCAAATTATGTAAAAAGAAATCATGATTATCACGAACCTGAAGAGAAAAGGAGCAAACCAAACAACCAATCAGCAGATAGTAATGTTCCGAGGGTTCCGAAATGAAATTTGAATTCTGTTCGGGGCTCCGAACTCCAAAGGATTTCCGTTTTCCTATTCTGATTTGCGCCAGAGTTTCAACCCAGCCTTAAATGTTATCCCGAGTCATTTAGTTCGGTTCGTAAGAGTTTCCTATTTTCTGGTTCGATCGGGTGGGTTATTTGAATTATATTTCTTTTAATAATTTTTTTTAAAAAAAGACCACACTGATATTAATAGCCTACTAGTTACCCTCAAAAAAAAAATAAAATCGTACATTGAAGTTAATAAATAAAATTATTTGAAATAACCATTATCATTACTTATTAAAAAATGATGATTTAGGAACAAATTGAGCTTGTTCAATAGAAAAATCTATCTGGATATTTTACTCTAATTTTTTATATTATATATATATATGTATATATATATTGGAGATGATTATATATATATATATGTATATATATATTGGAGATGATTAAATAGATACTTGATTTAAAACTTAAAAAAGTGGTTGCATCTCTGATTTCATTCTGTTTTTTCAAAGGTGATTTCATTCTGTTATTGATGGATAAAACCAATCTAACATGAACATTACTAAATAGACCGTATCATAAATTTCCTTACGGTACCATCTTGGGTAATCCCAACCAAATTTCAATTTACCTTTTATTTCCACCCATAGGTAACTTATTAAACCATTCAATCTTTTGGTGGCTATTAAACCATTAAAATGTTCTAGAGTTTTCAAACAATTTATATACCTTTCTCTAACTTTGATCCGCCAATAACTACTTGGGAGCGAAAAATTTTGGAATGTTCCAATGACATGTCCATTTTAGGAATAGGAACCTTGAGCCTTGAGGTATTAGGTTTTTTTTTTTTTTTTTTTTGGGAAATTCATTGGTACAGCATAAAAGTCATACATCAGATTCGTACATAGATAAGGAAGCATTAGCAAGCCTATGCATATTCTCTATTAATTTCCTATCTACTTTTACCAGATGAATAAGGCTAAATTTCAGAGATGAACTAGATTAATTCCCTATCTACTCTATTAATTACCTAATTCTAAGGCTAAATTTCAGATATTTTGCAAGAGATGAACTAGGTGTACTGGGACTGATGACCTACACTAAAACATTTGAACTAGATGAACACAATTAGTCTGCAAAAGACAACCCTCAAGCTTTCTGTGGTGTGCCGCCTATAAGCTTCTTAGACAAGCCAATGCTTCAGTCTGTAGAGCAGATAATGCATGAAAACTCTCACTCCCATAAGCGACCAGCGTACCGTTATCCTTGCGAATGATCTCCCAGGCTGCTGCTTTTCAGGCTGAGCACCATTAGTGCTGATAGAACGACTGGAGGGTAGTGCACAATTACGCAATTATCCTTTTCATGAAGAATACTCCGCCAGCCCCAGGAACAAGAAATCTTACCATCACGTACCAGAAAGCTCTTCTTCCGCGCATATTTTGCTTTAAAGATTCTTGCAAATATTGAGCTAGGATTAGAGTGAATTCTCCATGAAAGTTTGGCGAGCAACGCCTGATTTAGTTTCCTAGCTGAACGGATGCCCATTCCCCCTCTGAATTTCGACTGGCACATGAACTTCCACGACTTCCAATGGATTCCCTTGCCTGTTGCATCCCCCTTCCATATAAACCTAGCAATAATAGAGTCAATGTCCCTGCAAACACTGCAAGGAAGCTTGAATGCACTCATCATATAGATTGGAAGAGACGAAAGTACATGTTTTGCCAAAGTTACCCGACCAAGCATAGATAAGGACCAGTTTTTCCATATTCCCAATCTCTGTCGGATCTGATCTACCACGCTGCCAAACAGGATATGTTTTTTTTGCATCAAATCAAGAGAAAGACCCAAGTACTTTCCTGTGTAGGTGAAATTCCGAATCCTCAGTTGTGCTGAAAGCCAATCCTTCATATCAATTTCCACATTTGGGCTGGTCATAATTGCGGATTTGTCGAAGTTACCCGCTAGCCTGAACTCCTTGTGTATTGATCAAGTACTTCTTTAAATAGTTGGATGTTCGGCTTCGTGCACTCCATAAATACCAGGCAATCATCCGCGCACATCAAGTGAGAGAGTCTAGGGACAGCCCTACCCATCTTAATCCCAAAATGGTGCTTTTTGTCTAGGCTTTCCAATGCCAGTGTGAATGCTTGCTGGCAAATGATAAATAAGTACGGCAATAATGGACAGGCACGACGCAAGCCACATTTTGGGCCAAAGAAGTTAGATTTCCAACCATTAAAGCTGATGGAGTAGCTCACCGTAGTGACACACTTCATAATCAAGTTGGTGATGAGCTCCGAGAAACCTAACTTGAGAAGAGCCTTTTCCAAAAATGACCATGACATGCGATCGTAGGCCTTATTCATGTCGAGTTTGATCGCTGCAAGATCCTGCCCTTGTGTACGCTGTCTTATAAACTCGATGGTCTCATGTGCAAGTAAGATACTCCCTCCAATATAACGCCCTGATATGAAGCCATTCTGATTTTCTAAAATAATGTTGCCCAATGCTCTCTTGATCCGATTAGCTATAACTTTAGCAATGATCTTGTACTTGACGTTTCATAAGCTGATAGGGCGAAACTCTGAAGGCTAGGAAGGATTAACTACTTTCGGAATGAAGATAATATGGGTGTGGTTCTACTGTTCATCTCACACCTGGCCTCTTAGAATTTGCAGCAGACTAGTGACTAAAGGTTCATGTAAAAGAGGCCAATATGTTTGATAGAACCCTGCAGGAATACCATCTGGTCTCTGGGCCTTTCACGGTGCCATGTCTCGTAACGCGTCCCAAACCTCTGCTACTGTGAAGTCCATGCTTAAGCAAGATTGTTGATCTATCGTGATTGTATGTGAAAATAGATCCCACATCTCCACTTGAGAGCTATCCAATGTATCCTTTTGTTGAGGATGATTCTCCCTGACAAATACATTCTGAAAGTGATCCAACATTAACATTTGCAGTTGTTCTTGTGTAGTGCACCAGTTACCCCGTTGATCTTTGAGCGCGCTAACCCACGTTCTGCCTTTCTTCTTCGTTGCCTAATTATGGAATTACCTAGTATTGCGATCACCATCAGTGTTCCATTTCATATGAGCCCTTTGTTTCCAGTATAGAGCTTGAAAATCTAAGAGTTTGGTTAGCTCAGCTTCGCATTGGCTAATAGCATATTCATTCTCCACCTTCCCTTCGCCCGCTTGCAAAATCATCAGCTTCTTATTCAAAGCCTTGATGTTGTTCTCAATACATCCAAATGAAGACCGGCTCCAGTATGCAAATGTTTTAGGCTAACATCTAATTTGGCCGCTAAACCTGGTACTGTAATAGGACTATCAAGAGATGGAAAAGCCCATATCTGCCTCAAAATTTCTTCAGCTGCTTCAGTTTTAGACCAAAAAGCCTCAAACTTTATATGCTTCTGCTGGCTGTTGTATTAAGGGACCGTACTCAGACAGAACGGGCCATGATCAGAATGTAAAATCTATGCGGACTTATACATTAAATACACAATTGTATATTACAGATTATCATAAAATACTAGCCCATATAAAGTGATCTAATTAAGTCAACTAAAGTTTGGACTAATAATAATTAAGTTAAGGTAAGGCCCAGTATTGTGTAGAAACCCTAAAGCCCAGTTTCCGGTTCCGTGATGGGTGGAACCGAAAACCCTATTATATATTGGTTGTGGCCCCCGACTGAGCTGTCATGCTAAATCTCAACTCCCCATTTTGTTAGAGATTCCCACAAAGATTTGACGGAATCATCTGGAAGACCAAACCGGATCGATGTTCTTGCCACTCCAGATTAAGGTATGCTTTCGCTTTCGTATAGTTCTCGATAATATGATGTGAAGATCTCTAAAATATTTGAATTTAATCCAACAAGTGGTATCAAAACTCCCTTCATGTTAATTATTGAGAAATTCGGTTGATTTTGTGATTAGAAATATTTTGGTAATGTAATAACCCAATTCCCGTTTTTGCCTTCGGGAATATATATGAATGTCATTTAAGTGTAATTTTGGTTCGGTACAAAAGCGGATTGAGGTTTTACATTAATAAGGTCCATAACAATCTTTTGCTTATTTCGTATTTGGTTAGTGATCCATATTAGTTTGATCATTAAATTCTTTTTTGAGGTAATACGATCAACTAGTTTGCTTTATGAACTTTCAATTCTGGCGGCTTTTAGCTCTTCTGGTTTTCTGGTATGCCGTTGAAGCTTCTCTTCAGTTTTGGTCATCAATTTTATAATTTTCATTGATGAATTACTATGGGACTAATTAGATTATCCTTGAGTAGTTTTGGTTCGGTGGATGACGCAAATTAATTTTCTTTATTATTTGCGTTGTTCTATGATTATTATTAATTTTAATTTGAGGTTGCTGCTATTGATAAATTTTAAAGGTTTGAAGCAAGTATTATTAAAGAATAGCTTTTGGGATTGTGGCCTCGGCTGAGAAAGTGTTGTTTCATAGTTTGATCAACTGATTCAATTAAATTTATGATTTGGTTTCGAGTTCAGTCCTTCAATGAAATATTCGGGTAATGAATTTTTTTGGTTCAATTTATTGCATTGTTGTCTTCCGTAACCAGAATTTTTTTTTGGTTCAGCTCACCTCCTTAAGGCATTAAAAATTTGGGTATTTGAATTCAGTGAAGGTCCTGTTTTTTGAAGCTACGCAGCTAGTGTCTTTGATAATTAAAGATATAAATT